AAGAGGGGAGAGAAAAAACAACCCCTCAGTCTCAGAGGCAGACCACTACTTGCAATAGCTCCTCAGCTTAATGTACCTTGAACATAAATGAAAAAAATGGGTATTACATTTTGCCAGTTTATTTCTCTCACGTCGCACGGATTTTTGTACTCAGGACATTATCAGAACAGTAGAAATGAAAACCAAAGCAAGAATCTCAATTTTTAGCGAGTGAAGAGAAATGTCGCAGTGTTTTTCTCGTTGATATTTTTGCGTGAGTTCTATAAAGGCAAAATACACCACCCTGCAAAATGACCAACATAAAGTGAAATGAGAGAAAACCTGGGGTTTTTTGTTTGTCTTTTCGGTGAAGTTTCTATTGTCATCTGCTGTAAGAAAGGAAAAGGCACACAAATGCATGCATTAGTTATATAGGTTCCGAGTTATGCATAAAACCAGGAAACGAAAGAAAAGCAAAAGTAATTGGTGCGTGGTTATAACGCTGATGGAAGGAATCAAACGGCCACCTGAGCCCAGCTATGTGAAGCAGAAGTAACCCCTCCTATGAACTCCGTCGGTTTTCTGGCGGACTCTATTAAACTGAAGATATCTGAACCATCCAAGGTTTTTTCAGTGGTGGACTGTTTAGTCTAAACAGACAAAGAAATGTAGAGTCATACACAGCAGAAAGGCAGACCCACATGCACAGACATTAATTGCCAAAACCGGAGGCAGAGACAGAGGAAAAGGAGAGAAGGTTGCGGGGGCACGGAGAGGTTGGAAACAGGAAAAGAATGGGAAAATAAATCAGAGCAAATTCATAATGGCCGTAGTAAGCAATAGTTACAAAGCATAGTTGTTAGCGTTGGCATTTTGCTGGTTCAAGCAAACCTTTTTTTTTTCCTTTTATTAAGAAGCCACAGCAGCAATAAAACATTTCAGTAACACGGGTCTTTAAATAAACCCGCAAGGTTGAAAGCCTTGTATGATGTCTGCTTCAGACCATGGGACGGATTCAAAGTATGAGGGGAAAAAAAAACAAGCTGGGTTGGCTGCTGTCAACACAAAGCCAGGCAGCAAGAGAGCCGAAAGGTAGGGTGGCGTGAGGGGATTGCCTAAAAGAAGTCATGCTTTAATCTTTAAACCGTGGCGTGAAGTCAAAAGCCACTTGTTACCACTACTTTTGACGCAGACGACTCGGTAACATAGTGAGCAGTAGCAATGGTAAATGGCTGTTCTCTGGAATATCTCCACTCAGACAGGCTCTTATCTCTCCGGGCAAATGCCCCTGCTTCTACAGCTTCACTGCCAAGGTGCTTTTCTGCTTTGCCAAGCTGCAAGCTTCCCAGTGTACCATGTAACTGCAAATCCTGGTCCATCTTTAGTGTCTTTTTCAAACTCTCCTCTTCGGGGCTTTGCAACTGAGATTCTGCTTCCTTTATGGGTGTCAGAGAGTCGGACAGCTTTCTTTTCGTGCTCTGCACGTCGGATCCCCGCCTGGCTTTCTCATCAGTGACAGGCTCGAGGATTTCGTACTCGGCCACTACCGGAATGATTTTCACAGACTCTTGCACTTCCCTTTCCAGCTTTTGCAAAGCTTCTACTGAAGGCTGTACTGCTTTCTCGCCCTCTTTAGCTTTACTTGTCATGGTTACAATTTTCCCAGATACGGTATCATAGGACTTTCCTAGGGTGAACATTTTCTGCTTATTCTCCTCTTTGGATTGTATTTCACTTTCCAAGTCCTCAAAGCTCTGCATTAGAATGGTACTGGATTTTAACACCTCAGGTGGAAAGGCAGTTTTACTGCTCACAGTCACTACTTTGTATGCCACTTTTTTTCTCGATTCACCATCAACTACCTCAGAGGGTATTTTGTCTATAACAACCCAATCCTCAGTGCCCTATATTTGAGATATAAAAGCTAAATTAGAATATCTGAAGGTTTATCTGTACTTCAGGAGCAGTAAAGTATGAAGACTTTTAAGAAATCAATGCTGCCTCTTCTGAAAGCATATAACAATTTCACTCTACTCTTAGAGCAGTTATCAAACAAATAAACAGAATCACCTTAGGTAAAGTATGATTTCTTTGCATATTCCCTCCCCTTAGAGGCCCATATAACATGGACACGAAAAATTACTTTTGTCACACTATTTCTGTATTAATTTGAAGAATGCAATTATAATGTATCATTTAAAATGATGATTGGAATCATCCTGAGGATAAAAATCCTGTATCACAATGGTTAATAATGCTACAGTCAAAAACAAATTACAAAAACAGGGCATATAACCCCATCCAACTGTTCCCCAGTTGTCACCAACACACTGTTAATGAGATTTTAGAATATTCTGCATTTATAGATAGCTGTAGCCTGCACTCAGTTTCCTTGTTTTCATTAGAACAACATCAACCCTCTTCAGCATTGTTTAAATTGAGTAGCACAACACCATAGATGCCACACTGCTAAAGAAACTAACTAAATGCAGCATCTTTTTTCCTCCTTATGCAAATACGCTACGTGATTTGCTTTGACAAAGCAATCAGCATCCAGTTACTTGACCTTCAGACCGTAACTGCTGTATTTAACTAAGGAAACATGGTAGTTCAAAATCAAATGAATTAAAAATAACCTCTAGGGATGATGGGATACTTTTCTGGATAATGATTTGATGAGAAGTAACCAAAGTGCCAGCGGATTCTCCTTCCTGCAGCTTCTTCTCTATCACACTTGGCTAATAGAAAAACCAATAAGAATACAAAGTTCACCATCACTCAGCATAATCTGAATTCACTTGACAGTATAAAGGAAATTCATTCTAGTGACAGAAGTGCCCCATTCACCATAACGTTCTCAGTGAGGCTTATGCTGGAAACGCATGCACAACTGCAAACAACACCCACAAACAGCACCGTGCAAGTAGACTTCTAACTAGCAGAGAAATCAGTCTCTATTAGGAAGCCATGAGCTCTGGAGGGGACTCATTCCTCAGAATTTGGCCCCCAGACTACATCTCTCTGGAACTTATGAAATAAACAAAAAAAGTGTCTTGGAAAGGAAAAAAAGATAATGAAATAATAAATCATTGCCAGCCTATCTGACTGCATTTCAATAAAATATTATTTGTTTTTACCTGCAATTCAAGGAATGTAGTACCTCCCTTCTGCAAAACTATGAGTTTTTCTGATTTTTCTCTTTCTTCTTTGGTCTAATGTCAGGGGAATAAACGGTTTTAGTAAATGGAGGGTGAAAAGTCCACCATACTCTACAACAGCTTATCATGTTTCTCTACTGTACAAATTATTAATTGCATGGTAAAATTAGGAAACAGAATTAAACAGAATAATTTTACAGCAAAGAGGTTTCCAATAAGAAGTGAAATCAGTGTCTCTCCGTGACGCATGCAGACACGAGCATATTGCTTGCATAGCAGGAAAGACAGTAAATTGAATAACACCTGGGCGTGGACGTACTGTGTTGATTTCATCTTCTGTTATTCATTTAACTGTGTCTGGTGCCAACTTCCATGGCTTCCACCAATATCTTAGAACAGGTCCCTCTACCTTCACCCTGGCTTTAGCTCTTTCCTGAGTTTGCAGCCTTCCCTGCTCAAGCAGGCACAAGGTGCGTCAGGTTAGGATTTCAGCTCTCCTTTCCTCCTTACAGGTACAAGCGGTCTCAGAGCCTTTTTCCTATGCAGAAAGCCGACCACTGCTGTACCACTGCTATAGCGCGACACCAAAATCCTCCTCACTTCTATCCCATCTGTGCCTTCCCAACGCTGCAAGGATGGTGAGAGTATCTTTGTAACTTGACCAACTGGGAAAGTTTTAATGTTGGTAGGACTCGATTTCCTAAGCCTTTTGAGCCCAGCTTCTGGGCTGGCCACATTTTTCATTTGGCCAGAGCAAGGAAGCCCCCGCAGAGCAAAGCAGGTTTCTTGCCAAACCCTTTCACAACCCACTTCAATGGTTAGCGCGCTCATTAGACACGCCAATGGAAGTACTACGACTGGCGTGATAAAAGGGTACTGTTTTAAATATGTATACTCCATGCAGTCAAGCAGAAAGGCACACATTTAAAGGCAGACACGAAACTAGAGAGAGAGAAGGAGAAACAACTCATCTCCCTGACTGCAATGAGATGCTTAACTTCTTTATTTCTGAAGTGCTGGTTTAATCCAGTCCAGGCCAGACTAAACCTTGTCAAGGAGTTTGTTAATATGACAGCTTTATGTCCTGCAGCTATCTGGCCACTATTATGGCAGATATTTAAAACTGTATTTTTCATAACTGAAGAGAAACAAATTATTTCCCCTGTTCTTGCAAGAAACCAACTGGTGACTAGACAAGCTTAAAGTCAAAGTGACTGAACACACACAGGTGCCAAGTGCTCAAAGCACATATTTTGAAAGGACGTGTTTTACCTTCTGCTTGTTTTATTATATTAAAGAGCTACTGCAGGTATTGGCACTGAATGCATTTTTGAAGTGGATATGCTAAGTTGAACGTGCATCTTCTTTGACTAGAAGAAGCTACTACGTAACGCAGTTCTACGTGCTCTCTATCCTGACTGCCTCCACATTCCTTAGTAGAGATCAAGGTGTTGCTTTTGACCTATACATGTCTTCATTTTTTTCCCCTAACAAATTCTTCTCTCAGCAGGGCACGCGAACTCAAACCTTCATGCTTTGTGAGACCAAAAAGGATGGTCAGATGTTAGCTACAGCAGGGGACCCTTACTGCCAGAAGTCACCTCAGAGTTAAGCTCCCACTGCTCAAATTCACACACATTTTTCCACAGAGATGCCTTCATTTGGCTCAGATTCTGTGGGACAGCTGTAGTTTACTCAGATTCACATAAGGTACGGGAACCGGAAACTCCTTTTGAGCAAGTCCTTTCCTTCCAGTGAGAGAAGAGGTACCAGATAAGGGTATCTCTTGCCCTCTTCCTTTCCAAATGAATGGTTAAATTTGGATGTGTTTCCTCAGGGTGAAACCTACGTAACTGTGTAATGCTTTGCTACTGCTTGTGTGTTTTCATTAAAAATTGTTATTAAATTTCTAAATAACAACATGAAATCAATTGAGGGGATTATAAGTTTGCTTCACCTGCATTCCTCTAGTTCAGGCTGAGCTAGCCAGCCACTCCCTTTTTAACAGCTCCTTACATCTTTAATATGTTAAATACATTCAGTTTGTTACACTTACAGTTTTACTTTAAAGAAAGAAAAGCCATGTTTTCAACTACAGCTAAACATGGCTGAAGGATCTATTACTATTCCTGAAGAAGGCAACAGGAGCAACATTAAGACTCCTCAGCCCTTTCTCCTAAAGGCAAGATTTGGGCAATGAGTCTGCTCTTTAGGTATTTTAATCCAACTTGATGGTGACTCTAACGCATGTTTGATGTCAGTATCAGCCCCTGGTCAGATGCGTATGATGTAGGAGAAGAGGAGATGGGGCCTTCTTCTTGGCAACATCCCTTCTCCTAGGAGGAGAGGCTGACGTGTGCTATCTGGGTGGGGTGGTGTCAGGGATTCCCTTCCCCAGAGAGCTGCGGGTCTGCAACGCCAACCTCTAAGGTGGGGAAGCAGAAGACTCTTTCGAATTACTCTTCCCCACCAATTTTTGCTGAGTTCATTACAACATTGCATTGGTGCTGAGAGGACAGAAGCAAATTTTATGACCATTTATTGCTCTGTAACACTAAAAAGAAGTGGTAAGCATAAAGATGATTCTTGTGAGACAGAAACCAGATATCCATCCACAATAGAATAAAAAGATTAATCTTCATGCAGACCACACAAACATATTTCTTTTTACTCCACTGGATTTAAACTAAGACTCTCTGCTTTTTTTTGAAGATCTATGTATTTTATGGCAACATGAACGTTACGTTGTTACCTCTACATCTCTTTACACACCCACAAATTCAATAAAAGGCAGCTTTTTAATTGACGACTAGTTTCTTGCAAACACTTCCAAGACTGCACACTGAGCAAGATGCTTTCACGCGTGCACACTGTATGGAAACACACACGCTTAGCAATCTGCACCGGGTCTTCAATGAAACGGTATCCAGCGACTGCAGCAACTATCATTTCCCTTATGGAACTAGTCAAGCAGGTCTAATTATCATCATTATTTCTTCCCTGTTGTCAAAGACTGAGAAAGTTCTGTCCTTTGCTCTGTATTTTCTTGTCAAGCTTAGTACCGTACCCCAATCCCTCCTGCTACACCGCTGCTCCCAACCAGTCACCATTATTTAAATTTTCTCTCCATCACCTTCATGGTTTCTTTCACGCATGGCTGGACCCTCTCAAGCTCACCGAACCTGTAAGGAAGCCTGCATTTTGCACCCTCAGAGAGACCCAATTCTGCCATGCGGCTTACAATGAATTTCATACTCTAGCTATGGAGATATAAATATCTACACACACATACGAGGTATCTGTTCTTCCTTGTGTGTTTGCTGCTAAAGGCTGAGTCCTGGGAAAAGGGGAGCACCTCCAACTGGGGAATGGCCTCTAACTACAGCCTCTAAACTTCCTGAGAGCTATCAAAAGTAAAAACAGACAGACAAATAGGTAATGAAGCCTTTCAGCTCACGCTGACCTCTTCAGGCACTAGTGGTTCAATCATAGGAGCTTCCTCCTGCCTTGCTGCAAGCCGAACGGGAGATGTGGAAAGCCTCTTCTCCCACTCGTTAGACACAGCCGTTTCTGTGGAGGTTTCCAAGAAGGTGCGTTTCAGCTCACTTATATTGGTCTGATGTTTCATCAGATCTTCCTGGGTTTTGTCTAGGTCCTGGACAGTTTTAAAAGAATAGAGCAGTTTGTCATACATCCTAAGCCAACCAAATTTTAGAGCCAAAACACACAACTTGGTTAGTAAAGAGGGAAGTAACATCTCAGGGAGCCGGGGAGCACAGCACTAACACAACACTCTGTGAAAATGTGGCATTTTGAAAGATAACAGCATAGCATATCGCGTACAAGTGAGTATAAAAATACTAATAAAGAGCTTATCTGTATCGCTATAATTTACACCTGACAAAGAGGCTTCAAACAAACATACATATGCGCGTGGACGCACACACACATACGCGCACGCATATATATATATTTACAGTAAAAGTTAGAGGAGTCATCATAATCTGAGAAAAAAAAATCTATTTAATTTATTAGCAGGTGGGAATACACAGTTCATGCATCATAGTGCAGTTTCACAGTTTACCACTAAAACTAACACACATGTACGTACATGCACTGGTATATACCAATACCAACCTCTAACATAAGATTACTATGTTTGACATACACATTTTCACCCTGTATTCGCTTAATCAGACTATTCTGAAAGAAGTGAAAAAGAAAGGGAAAAGTAAGGGACACAGTATTGAAAGGATATAAAATGCTGTTTCTACACATTTCTTCACAGAGAACCGACACGAACATGCGGAGAGAGGTGAACACCTCCAATACTCGAGCAACATCTGGGCCTTTTGTTTCTGTACCTGTGCCTTTAGATCTCCGTCCTCCTCTTGATCCGACTGCCAGCATGAGAAAGATTGGAAAACGACACCTTACCCACTTGTATCACCAAAGGCTTTACCAAACATGGCGAGAAGAACACGCTAGGTTAAAGTCACACTTTCTTCACGTTAAGGGCTTAAGGAGAAAGGAGCAGACCCACTGGTTGACTTTGCATGGTTCTCCTCACTCAGAGCAAGTCTCCCCCTGCCAAACTTGTTAATTGTCAACAGAGGAGTATTAAACTTTTCTCTTTTATAAATATCACTGGTGCGCTCCACGTTGATAGATCTCCATTTAGGGAGCAGCAGCTGGACCTTCTCACTGAGATCGCGGCTGGTTTAGGACCTAATGGCAACAGCAAATTCTTTGGAACTCCCTGATCCCAGAGTTTGAACATACGGCACCTGCTGGGCCACAGGCAAAGCTTTGTGTTAACTTACCATGGATAAAGGTTTCTACAGAATGAGGCACATCCTATTTCCTAAAAATGCTATTTCCCTAACCTCAGTCCCTTTCTACATTTATATAATTTTATTCCACATTTAGTCTGTACGTATTCTTTCAGGAACTGTCTACAGTTTCTTCATCAACGACCTGGATGAAGAGTTAGAATGTACCCTCAGCAAGTTTGCTGACGACACCAAACTGGGAGGTGTGGTAGATACACCAGAAGGCTGTGCTGCCATTCAGCGTGACCTGGATAGGCTGGAGAGCTGGGCAGAGAGGAACCTGATGAGGTTCAACAAGGGCAAGTGCAGGGTCCTGCACCTGGGGAGGAACAACCTCATGCACCAGTACAGGCTTGGGGTGGACCTGCTGGAGAGCAGCTCTGCGGAGAGGGACCTGGGTGTCCTGGTGGACGACAGGTTAACTATGAGCCAGCAGTGTGCCCTTGCTGCCAAGAAGGCCAATGGGATCCTGGGGTGCATCAAGAAGAGTGTGGCCAGCAGGACGAGGGAGGTTCTCCTTCCCCTCTACACTACCCTGGTGAGGCCTCATCTGGAGTACTGTGTCCAGTTCTGGGTCACCCAGTTCAAGCACGAGGAAGAGCTACTGGAGAGAGTCCAGCGGAGGGCTACAAGGATGGTGAGGGGACTGGAGCATCTCCACTACGAGGAGAGGTTGAGGGAACTGGGCTTGTTCAGCCTGAAGAAGAGAAGGCTGCGAGGGGACCTTATAAATGCCTACAAATATCTGAAGGGTGGGTGTCAGGAGGATGGGGACAAGCTCTATTCAGTGGTGCCCAGTGACAGGACAAGGGGTAATGGGCACAAACTGAGGCACAGGAAGTTCCGTCTGAACATGAGGAAGAACTTCTTCCCTCTGAGGGTGACGGAGCACTGGAACAGGCTGCCCAGGGAGGTTGTGGAGTCTCCTTCTCTGGAGATATTCAAGACCCGCCTGGACAAGATCCTGTGCAGCCTACTGTAGGTGACCCTGCTTCGGCAGGGGGGTTGGACTAGATGACCCACAGAGGTCCCTTCCAACCCCTACTATTCTGTGATTCTGTGATTCTGTGATACAGTGGTGGCCTTCTGGAACTGCACACGTTTCAGCTCAAATCACTTCGGCTCAAACGCACTCCCGCTCACAAACGCGACGCGGTGTGGGCTGCCAAAGCGGACCCGCTGCTGAGGGCTGCACCTGCAGGTGGCCAGCGCACCACACGTTTGGAAAATCAGCTATCCCGAAGGAAAACTGAGGTTCACAAAATCTTCTCCCCTAAAACAACGATGGAGGATAGGGAGACGATCACGCATTGCTGACTAACAAACCGAGCATTTTAAATGTCACGGGTTTAGGGTTCTGTTTTATTTTCTGCACAGCTCAAGGCCTAAAGCCACACAGTGTGAGAGGCACTTCACGATATTCTGTACTCCAGGCTCATCTCAGCAGACTTTATGTTGTGGCTCCATTTGGATTCTTTTAATGCTCGTGCCACTATTTTGTTGTTAAATTTTCATATAGTCCTAACTAGTCAAATGACCCATGGGAAAATCTTTATCTGTTGACTACTCTATAACTCAGTTCAAATCTACTCTATCTACAGCCGAGGCCGAATTGCCCCGATGCGTCATACAGAGAATTTTTCCTCAACTATAATTTTAACAGTCTGAAATATTAACGAGACCCTACTGAAAACCTACAGTAGTGTTTGTGGTAAGACTCTTCTCTTCTACCAGATGTCAGACCAAATTCAGCTTACATTTGCAGCTGCAACCATACTAACTATGAAAGCATTATCTGCACTCCACTGGAGTCACACGGGGTTGAATATGCCTGCGCTGTCTGTAAACCAGGTTGTGGACACGGGGCTTCTCCGTGCAGAGAAAATACCACAGTGCCTCCTCTGAAGGTATGTGGTGGCAATATGTGAAGATGACATGTGAAATTACGTTCAAGGAAAATCTTCAATGTTTATAATCCGGAAATACCTTTATTCAGAAAATTTGAAAACTGCTTTTTACTGTCTTCTTCCCCCCTCTCTCTCTCTCACACAAGCTGCAGATTATAAGGGCAAACAGAAAGACTCAGGGCACAACCCAGCCAGCGCGCTGGCGTGGGCGACGCTGCCGCCGCCCCGCTACCAGCACAGCGCGGGGGCCTTGCAAAGCAACCACACAACCTGGGAGCACTGGAAACTCGATCTCCCGAGCAAGGCTCTGGCGCTCGCCCGCCTGCGCAGAGAGGGATCCCGCGCTGCCGCAGGGGAGGGCGGCTGAGCCCCCGTGCCCAGGGTCGGGGAGGGACGAGAAGGAACGCTCGCCCCGGCCAAAACCGGGTGCCGGCGACTGTACAAACCTCGGTGGCAGTGGTCTCACCATCGGCTGCAGTATCCGTCTGCTCACTGTCAGTCTATTTGGTTAGACCAGTAACCAGGTTCCAAGGGGAAGGCAGGAATAAAGAACAAACCCAGCTCATCAGTACATGTGGCTCACATGGGGAACGGTTAAATTCAACATCCCTGCGAACTGCATTAGCATTGCTTTTCAAACCACGCACAAGTCAAAGAAGCAAAATAAAAATGCTGTATTAGTAAACAGAACAGACTCAGAGGAAGACTTGAGGCGTACTGTACACGGTATATGGCTTTACTGGAATAAATTTATAAGCCAAACAAAACATTACTGGAAAAGTGTTATTTGAATAGCAGATTTTTTTTTCTTAAGAAAGCCAGGTGGCTTTACAAAAAACTGAAAACAGAAAGCTAAGATTTTTCTAAACAAACTTTTCCTCCCATAATGTTTTTTTTTAAGGAAAACTATTAAAAAAATTTTTGTTCTAGCCAAAATAGATGAATGTGGTATTTGACTTTTTATCTGGAGGAGGAAAAGATATTAAAAAAAAAAAAAAAAGACACATTTAAACTTTCAGCCCCTCATTTGTACAAAAGTTGTTCTTGTCTCCACATTTATACACCGTGAGGCTGTCTGCATTACCAAAGAGTTCAACCACCCATACCCCCAGCCCATCTACTGTCTGTCTGGGGAGCAACGGCAAGGCTCAGGTCCCACTCGGTTCCAACAAAGAGCAGCTGATATTGTTAACGATAGTAAAAAGAAAGAAAATTGCCATTCAAAGAATCAAAAATACTTCTCATTCCATTTAAGAATATGGATGAAAGCAGGAGAAAAATAAAAGTAACTCCCCCCGCCACCCAAAACACTTACTAGGTACAAGTGATAGAAATGAAACAAAGCACAGCATTGCACAGACTGAGCTGTTCCTGCTTTGCTCGACACCAAGAAGAACATTTTAGTGGAGAATGCCAAGTGTCGAGATTTAATAAATAGAGTCAAGCATAGCTTACTGCAGGCTTAGCAGAGAGTTCAGATGACTATTTTTGATGTTATGCAAGTTTATGGAAAACTAGTAAGCAAAGAAGTGCTCCCTACTGCCCCAGACTGGCACAGCCAAGTTGTTTTAACATCAGTGAAAGCGCTGATTCTGATCAGAGATTTTCTGTGGTCCTTAGATAATCTGAAGCAACCCAGGCAGGTAATTTAAAGCTAGGATAAATACATCTCATCCTCAAATCACATCAATATGAAACAGGAGGAAAAAAAGCAGCCTACTCCAATGGATGGAGCATCAGTCTTAACTTTGAATTCCCTACCTTCTGTCATTTTCAGACAACTGCAATGTTTCATAAAGTTGCCTCTGGGTTATTTTTTCATTGCTTTGTTCTCTATCATTCCTTCCTTTGAATAATTCGTACTGCTTGTATGACAGGCAGAAGAATAAGCAGGTATTTTGGACCATTGGGGGAATAAATCAAAGTTATATGCAATTTTTTAAGCAATAACCGCTCACTAGACAGACCGCTTTTATTTTTAAATGAAACTGTAATGCCAGAACTGTCTACCTAGCTGGTCAAATTGCTTTCACTCAAGTGTTGGAAAATTGTTTCTTTATTAAGGAAGAATCTCACATCTTTATAACATTATAGGCAATTATAAAGGTATGGAAACATAAAAAAAAATCTCTGCATTGTCACTCCTATTTACAAAAAAAGGAGAGGAATTAATGAATCTAGGCATTTAAAAGGAATTAAACGATTTGTGTCAAGGCACTGCAACACGTGAGTCTGGCACATAAGGCTCATTTAAGAACTTGATGTTGGGAACATCAGAGAAAAGTCAACAGAAATATTAGCTGCTAAGGTACAAATGCAGAAGCCAATGAAATCTACAGGGTGAGATTCTGCCTCACTGCACGGACTGTCTCCAGATGCATTGCTCGAGGGAGACCAGAGCTCACCAAGGCATGAGATTGGTTCAGGGTACTGGCCGTAGCCTGCTGCAGCACTGTGTGCAATCTTCCGTGAATGAGGGAAAAAAGAAAAGGTTTCTATTTCTTTTACCATAACAGCTATGAAATCCTAAATAAGGCATAAATTTCGCTTTATTGCAACGTATGAGTCCGCTCACAAGCCAATCAACAGCCATGGAGTCGAGGTCGGCGTTACTGAGTTACTTGAATTCGAGGTCTGGGGTTATCGCAGAGCAGGGCATGGCGAGCTCGGGCTGAGCGAGGCGGGCCTCCTCCAGAGCGGAGAGCACGAAAGGCTGGGCTCCACTCCAAGCCGGGCTGCAGCGGTGGTCCCGCCACCGGTGGGACATGTGGGTGGGCGAGGGATGGAGCAGGAAGGGGAGGCAGCTCTCCTCTGACTTGCCATAGGAATTGCTGTGATTTGTTTTGCCAATGTAATGCAGACATGCCCAAGTTTAAAACATACTCACTTCCATGCAATATTTTGAACAAGAAATACCCCCTGGATTAGGCACAAGTCTGTGTTGTCTGCCAGGAAGCACTGCCAGAGTAATCACCCTCATAAAAGAGTGACACTAAAAAGCTTGTTTTCTACATTTTTATGCTCAATACTTCCTAACGTTACTGACAAAAAGAAGTGCTTGTTTCTGAAAGAGGAACAGACCAATGCATTACATAAACATCGCCTCGTTATTGCCTCTGGAGCTGGCACCGTATTAATGCTGTTATTGCTATTAGATTAATCCAAGCGCAGAGCTAATGCAAACTGAGACCCAAATGCGATCTCAGAATGAGGACACGAAATGAGACAGCAACATTTTGGATGCCTTTTATCAGAAATTGCACATTATTATTTAGTTGTTAGGCATCACAGAGCCAAAAGCATCCAAAGACAACGTTTTTGCAAGATAAATCGATGTGGCTTTTGGCTTTCCATGAAAAGGAAATGAAATCCTGCCCCAAGTCTTACAAAATCAACAGTGGCAGATTACACAAATGTTTCGATGTGCAAGCTGGTTTATTGAAGACAACTACTGCAATGGCATCGACAAGTGGCCAAGACGGCTTTTTACGAATGGCCAACTGGTCTGTGGTAACTGATCTGGGCGTTTGAATTGGTTTTTTTTTTTTTTTTTACATATAAAGCAAAAGTGTATTTTTGCATTTGAAAATGAAGGGGAAAAATGAAAAATGAGGAAAAAACTCTTTATTTTATTCTGTCAACAAAGAATAACTCGGCACCAGCAAAAAACGAGATGCCAGTTACTGTGTTACTTAAACAAGCAGTTTAAGTAACTTTCCTTCTTCTGGATATATTCCCGTCTCCACAGTTCCCAGCACCACTGCAGACTCCGCTTCTCCTGCAGTTGGTTTATTTGCCTGTGATAACCCTGGTGGCTTGAGGCATCGGTTTTGGCAGTGCTAATACAACACCGCAAACGGCACAGCGGCCCGCACGGCGTGTTCCCCCAACAGCTGCAGAACAGCTGTCCCAGTCTGACCTCTCGCTGATACACTGGATTTAAGCATGGCGAAACAATTTAATCGGCAGCAGAGACGGGGATCAAGGCCGAAAACCCAGATCCAGGTTTTGCTGGACCAGAAACCCTCTTCTAGGCTCGGGCTACAGCTGATAGCCTCTTGCAGAAAGCTGAGTCCACTGGAATTTTGAACACTCTGAAGTTTGTGAGGGTGCCCATTATTGTTGGCTAGTTATTTATATAAACATAATGTATATACATACATAGATATATGCATGCATATATATTTATTATGCAGGAAATTGTACTTAATAGGTATTTAATACTTCAGTACTTATTGTACCTAACACGTATTTAATACTTAATGTTTAGGCGACTGTTGTAACCCTAGTATAAACTGACAGGAAGAAGAAAGAGGTCTTGGTGGGTTCAGGTGCAGTAGTACTTCAGAGCTGATCAGTGGCAGGGGGCTTAGCGCGTGTCACTTTGCATCAGCCGACACAGTTCAAACCAAGCCACTTCCACACAGTGTTGTGCCTAACCCTGGGCCCCAAGCTGCACTCCCAACATGAGAAAAGAAATAAAAAAGGAGAAAAAAAAACCACAACAACCCCCAAACCAAAGAAAAAAGACCAGAAAACCCAACCCCGCCCCTTCTAACATATCAGCACAGACAGAAATGAGGCTCTGAAAGTAGGACCACTACGGCAGCGATCTAACACTGGTTAGGACTGAAGCACCGAACACGGAAAAAGAGCGTGTGTTCGATGCCGAGGTACACACCTCTTCCTCTGAACTGTCACTCAGGTCATTGGCAAGTGAGGCGCTCAAGGAGGCCGCCTTGGGCTCCAGGTAGCAGAGGCACATAGCCAGAGGGAAGGAGAGCGTGAGGGCGTATGGCACTGAGAAAGAGGCAGAGAGCAGAAAGAAAAAAATGAAGAGGAAGCAAGGGACGAGGGAGGGGGAGCGGATAGGGAGGTAGCGCTGCACGCTGGCAGGCAGGAGGTTGGTTTCGGAGAGGTTAGGGAGCGACAGGTAGCCGTCGTCATCCAGGAGGGAAGGAAACGACTCTGGAAGTTGCAAGGAGAAGGAGAACAGCGTTCCGCCTTTGCCGGCTTTTTGCTTATAGCCGAAAGCCGCGTCTTGCTCGGCGGAGCAAACTCGCCCCTTTCTGTCCGAGTCCGGCTCTGAGTCACCGTGCTTCGGAGCGCTCTCTTTGGGCGCCTCGCAACCTATGGGCTTTGTTCGAGCGCTCTCCTTGCATCTCCTGCGAAGCTTTGCTGAAGATGCATGGGGGCCAGGCTGCGAGGATGGCGAGGGGTGGCGGGAGTCAGCGCCAAGCAAAGGTGGCTGATGACAGAGAAAGAGCAGCAAACAAGGCGCAAAAGCAAAAGGACAAAAAGAAAACTGTCATTAGTTAATTTTCTTCCGTGATGATAAATTATATATATATATAGAGAAAAAATTATACACAGTATTTTAACACCACAGCTTTCCACTGAGTTAAACAGTTCATGCTCCCACGCCGCACACCACAGGTGTTAGCGAATCAGGGTTACAGCTTACGAAAGGCAACTTCTTGACTCAGCATGTGTCTAGTCATCTGCAGCACGCGATTTACAGAAAAACCTTCACGGCCATATGTGGAGTTTCGGGTGCTGCCAGATTTCCACTTACTGTAAGATTGGCTTCAGATCAGGAGGAGCTTTCAAACGTGAAGTAGATGGAGAGAGCAACAAGGGAACATATTTCTAATACCAACACGGCTCGTGACAGCACTCCTGCAGTCAGGAGGAGACCCGGTAGGGGCCAGATGCTTCCTATCTATGCCCTGGACAACCTCGGCAGCAATAATTAATAACTCAAGGATTTTAAACCTCCATGTGCCCAAATTCCTCCATTACAGTATTTTAAAACCCCTCAAAAACTAGGTCCTAAACCTAAATAAAACACATTCTGGTTTGGGGGAGCATAAACCTATACACCACTTGCCACCAATGGAGAAAACTGTACCAGCTCGATCCGTACCCCAGTAGCGGGCCCCTTGGCACGGCTCCCACC